GAGATCGAACAACCTCCCCGCCAGGCCGCACTATGGCCCAAAAGATTTTGCATGGACTTTGCGCGCACTTTCGGGCGTTCTAAAAGCCAGCCCTGGGCCTCCTAGGCCACGTTTCGGAGCGAGTTCCGGCCGGAGCGGGGAAGAAGGACTTACGCTATCAACGAAACAGCCAGAGACTACACCATGACATAGCGCAGTTTTGAAACATGGATATAAGAGAGAGGGAAGATGCTCAGAAGCGTTTGCACCAGACTCGAAGGCTGGTGAGCAAAATGCATGCAAGTTGAAATGAGCAGCGGCACCAAGCAATGAGGTATACCACCATATTTTGTTCAAACACGTTGCATGTCGACCTCGGGTCCTCGAAAACAGACCCAATTTTTAGCCGCAACGACCACTTGCTCTTGTCGGGGTGAGGTGGCAGCCAAAAGCTTCCAGCGACGGATGCGCACCGGGTGTTCTCAGCAAGCCATATCCGGGTCTCTAGACTGGAGTTCTCAATTTTTTTATGAAGAGTTGACCTATCAATACTTTGAAGAACAGTTTTCCAACCTCGGGGGTGAGAAAGTTTCCCTAAGCGCAGCTTCTTCTGCTTCTTAAGAATGAAATGAACACAAAAGAGTTGGAACGAAGTTCAAAATTTGAAACTGTGTGCACGGTTCTTTCAAAGCATTTGCTTTCAACTACAACACTGGCAAAGTCGTGTTTGCTGCTTAGATGCAACATTGTGTCGGTCTTGGAAGCCCTTCAAGCTTTCTTTTGTTTCCTCTTCGACCATTTTGCTAATTTAACAAACCACGACCAGAGCAAAGACGTTGAAAGTGTGGAATGCGTCAGTCTTAAAGAAGCCTTGAGGTGCTACAAGTAGGTTGCTGTGCTTTAAACGGCTTGAAAGCTTTGACTCTTGGCCTCCTCCATTCTGTTTTTCTTTCTTTTAACGCCCCAACCATGAAGCGTTTCACTCATTTTTTCTTTTTGTTTTTGCCTGCAGTGATTTTGTTTGACTTCTTTTTTGTTACCACCAACGCGACATGTGTGTTGCTTTTTCTTTTCTTTTGAATTTCTTGTGTTTCATTGTATTTTTCTCGCTTTCGATCCCCCTAAAGCGATCTCGTGTGGGCATGTTCTTTTTTCAGAATTTTGTTTGCTTTTGCCACCCTGAAGCGTGACTTTCTTTATCGTGTTGATTTGCTTGATTGTGTTGCACCTCTTTGTCTTTTGAATTTCCTCGTTCTCTTCTTCTGTCTTTTGAATTTCCTTTCGTTTCAAGTTTGTGTAGAATCTCCGACTTTCGTGAGCTTCATCCAACATAATGGCAGTATTGGTTTTCCATGCATTTTTGCCAAAAACCAAAGCTCAATGCAGACAATACAAGCTTCTTGCAAGAATTTTAAAGCTTGCGAGCTCAATTGTAGAATCGTTTATTTTGCGAGAAAAGTTGATTTGTTCTTTGTGGCTAAATTTTTTGGAGAAACTGTAGGTTTGAGGCGTTGTCTACATAACCATTACGGTAAGTGTTTCATTTGTTTTTGATTTGGTTTTGGCTGTTAAGCGACTTCGTGTTGCTTCTGGTTTATATTTCTTTTCAGAAAAAGCTTTTCTTCGCCTTTTCGCTTTTGCGAAAATGCACGCGGCAAGTTTGCAAGCCATTGTCATCAAAACGTGAGGCTTACAAAGAGGTACTATCTAGTGCTTGTCGATTTGGCACTGAAAAAAATTTCATGCTGCAGCGCGTTGTTAGTTTTTTGTGTTGTCATGATTTTGGTGTGCACTTGTGGTGCAGCGGTCAGAAAAAAAACCCTGGAGGCCAGAAAAAGATGCCTTGGGGTCCAAAAAAAGATGCGGGGTCAGCTACGAGATGTTTCGGGGCCGAGACATACTTCAGACCATTGGTGTCGAAAAAAGCTTGTAGTCTTTTTCTGCTAGATAGGGACCGACAAAAACATGTCGGGGTCAAAAACGAAATGGACCAATCGCGCGGTCTGGAAAAAGACATTTTGGGGTCGAAAAAAAGACCAGCCCAAACGCCGGCAGGCCACCTTCATGCTGTCAGCCGCATACCCCACACCAGAGGCCCGAATAGGGTGGGCCGGCACTGGGCTGAATTATGCCTCGTGGAATCAATGAACTGATTTCCCGGAACGCTTTCATATTGACCATGACTTCTTCTCCAGTCCAAGCGCCACGGAGATACGCCGAATACATTCCTCTTACTCCCTTGTGTGGATGGATAACACTCCGCTTTACTTGAAAGTCCGGATGTTGCCAGCAAGAGAGCTTCTTGGACATCGGTTGTTCATAAACCAAGTTGCAAAACCCGGAAGCGCCTTTGACCAGGTCGGTGCGGACCATTTGGGGCCCTGCGCGTGCGGATTTTTTTTTGTTTGTCGTATTGCTTGTCTGTGTCCGGGCAAGAAGGATTGGCAAGTCGCAACCTTTTGTCGTTTTCTGAAAGCCGAAACATTATTGCGACTTGACACAGCCCCTTCTTCGGCATTGTGTGTGTGTTAACAATTTAGGCATTGCTTGTTGGTATAGTTTTGAAATGTGACTGAAATCAAAAACAGCTGATTGAATTTATTGTTTTGCAGCATTTTCATCGAGAACAAGATTGACCCAAAATTGGATGCAACGTCTTGGTTGCGGGCTGAGTTCGTGCTTTCTTAAATGTTTACACGAGAAGATACGAGCTCGTTTGGTTCAGTGCATCGATAGTCAAACAAAGAACGCGAATGCAGTTTTTCCTCGAAAACATGAACAGGCTCGGGTCTGACCAAACGAGCTTCCGACTGCTTCGGCAATCAGGCCTTCGCAACAAGCTTCAAATGTCACCATGAATCATCCGAGCTCAGAAAAAGGTGGTTCTGTCAAAGGCATGGCTTGTGTGTGCCTGCATCCTTCGGATTTGGAAACAGTGCTTTTCCTCCGTGTGCGGCCTTTGCAAGCCGACCTCTTTCAGGCAAGGCTGGTGCAAGACATGTTGTAAGGCTGTCAGGCCTGATGTTCAAGAGATTGAAACGGATACCGAGCTTGGACGTGGTCCCGGGGAGGCATTTGGTGATGGTGCGGTCTGTGCTGCTCCCCGCCGCACCGCCCTTGAACGTTAAAGCCTAGCATGAGGCATTTTAATAGGCCCGTCGCCTATGGCGATAGGATCCATTGTTCGGATGAAGCAACATATTGCCCGGATACAAGAGTTGCTCACAAAACGTAGCCGTATGCCACATGAGGGCAGCGAACTGACAGGACGTTACAAGCCATCGAAGAGACAAGGTGCAAACACGTGCATGGCATTACAAGTCTTTGTGTTGTCACGCTCCAGTATGATGTCGCACATGAAGTTGTCAGCTCTGATGTGTTATGTGTCTTTGCGGAAAAAGACCAAAAACTCGAATGCCTTTGTCAGTCCGAGGCACTTCTCAGCCTGGCCGTGGCAGCGGCGTGGAGATCGCTTTCCCAGCAATGCTTCATCCAGGCCAGGCACGGACGGCACGGACGTTGCGGGGTTCTGAGCAAGGGCTGTGCCACTCGAAAGAGGCACCGGCGCGGACGGTGGAGGCGGACCTTTGCACTTCGGCCAAAGTGCTTCTTTCGGCCCGATCGCACAGCCCTGGCAGGGAGTGCAGTCGTTGAGGGTGTTGGAAACAGCTGCCCTGTCCACTGGACTGTCCATGGCAGGACCGAGTTGTTGCCGTCGTTTGGCTGCTTGAAGCATGCGGCATGTAAACAAAGATCCACGTCACAAATTGAGATAGAAACCTGAATAAATTAGGTCAAGTCGGTACGAACGCCACTAAAGCACTCGATTGTCACGCTGATAACAGGATCTCTGCCAGCTCTCGCGACTTGGGGCGAGGGCTCGGAAGCAGGGCAGAACATCGACCCTGCCTGGAGCCGAGACCAAGTTTAGAGACGTGCTCATGAAGTGCAGCTTCCAAGTTCGCACTATCGACATGCTCTAGCTGAGGATTCGACAGAGGCCTACAACAGAAAGGCCGCGAGCTCAACGCCTACTATGCTCCTTACTCATCTAATTATGAAGCAAGTGCTGTCGCAACGTTCGTTCAGGCAGCAGGTCTTGCACAGGGCTTTTCCCTTACTTGCCGGGCTAAACTTGCTGCTAAGTCCGATGTCAGCTGCGACTCAAGCGGAAAGTATGTAAAAATCTGGGATGAGCAACCGGTGCGGCGCAGCTAATGCATTCCCGCAACATATCGGTTGTCTGATCCCATGAACAACACTCAGCCTGAGCCTCCGCAGATTGTCAGCGTTCCATACACTACTGCATACAAGAAGCCGTATGAGTCTTCCTTGCCCCTTGTGCCTGTGCGTCCCGTTCATGGCCTTACGCTTTCAAGGCTTGGGCAGGATCCTGAAGCTGCGAAGCCGTCATGCGTCGACAGTCAGCCTGGTCGCTCAGAGCGGCGTGCGATCGCCACGGGCTTCACTTCTGGACATGGAGCTCCAGCGCTGTGTGGATGGAGCGGCCGTGCTCCGTGTTGGTGCGCAGACCCAGATGCAACTCACGTTTGCTGACCTCGCCTCCTGCCTTACACGCTTGCGAGAACTCAAGAAGATGCCTGCGTCGGGAAGCGACCTTCGCCAGTTCCTCGAGAAGGCGCGGGCACCATAGCTTCTAAGTGCTCAGATGACCTCATGCTCCAACATGTCCTGTTGGCCTGCTTAGGTCGATGCAGTGCTGCCGAGCTTTGGCCCCGAGGGTGCGCACATGGCACTCACAGCGTTTGCGCAGCTACGCTGCCGCCAGGACCGAAGGACGAACAGCGGGCAGCATAGGGAATGGCCGTGTGATGTGTCTTTCCATGCCTCCCTACAGGGTGCTATTTCTTCATGGCCCCTCTTGATGAAGCACCGCGGCGAACTTCCCCCATCCTGCCTTGCAGAAGGCGTCTGGGCAGCATCTGGCATCCCAAGCCCGCCTCGAGAGGTCGTCTATGAGGCCGTGGGCTTGGCTCGTGAGGTTGGTCCGCACATGAAGAAGCTACCCGACGAGGCGCTCTATCGCTGCATTTATGGCCTCGCTCGCATTCACACCGGCCGGGGCTCCACGGAACTCCTGCGACGTGCGGAAGACTCGGTGACACAGGCGCTGGGAAAAAGGCCTTGTCCCTTTGCCCCGCGCCAGTTGGTGAGACTCTGTTGGGCCATGGCTCGTTTGGGCTGTCGAGACAACCGGATCTTTGAGGGGATCGAAAATCGCATCGCGGACGTTTTGAATCACTTGGAGGTGAAGGAGCTGGAGGCCTTATACGGGATCCTTACAGAGCTGAAGCTGGTCCGGCAATGGAAGCTGATCCACGATGTGGAGCGGGCCTTAGCGTCCCGAGAGGACGAGGCGGCTTCCTCCAACAAATCTGCGAGACGAAAGCCTTTCCGTCGCCGCTGGACACGGGCCGACCTCATGCACTCAGTGCTGCAGCGGAAGTGACCGCAAGCGAGCGTTCACGGCGTAATCTCAAGCGCCTCTTGGGCAACGAGTCGTACCATGACAAGATGAAGCGAACAATCACCTGCAAGATCCTCCACTTGGAAGAGAACACACTGGAGTGGTGCATGTGAAGATACCGGAAAAGGGGCCGCATTGGCCCCATGCTACACGCGCTTGCCTGACGACGTGCGTTTCACGGTGGTTTTCACACGATTTCAGAAGGAGCAAAGACAGTGTAAGGATTACTCGGTTACCTCTTATTGCTAGACTACTTGTTCCAACATTCTCTTCTGAAGGCGCTGCAAAAAGAATGCGGTCGTGGGTTTTCAGCAAATGGGAGCTTTGATTGTGGTTTAGGGTTCGGGGATCTTTGAGGAGCCCGAGGGAGTGCCTCAAAGCCCGTGGTGCCAGAAGGAATTGCCCTCCCACAGGAACACCATGAAAGACCCTGAGTCTGACAGCGTATGAATACTACTTGAACATGCAGGAAAAAGGTGTAACTACCGCGAAAGTGTGTAAGTGTGTGTGGGTGTGTGTGTGTGTGTGTGTGCGTGCTTGTGCTTGTAGATGATGGATGCTCGCAGCATGGAGCCGTCCTCCGGCCAGATCCTGAACGCGACCGCGATCTGCCTGACCTTCGCAGTGTTCCTCGTCGGCCTGGTGGTTAGCCAGGCTTGAGATCTGTCCGATTGCACTCGCCTCTCTGAGCTCTGAACCTCTCCTCTCGGGGAAAAGCCCGCCGGAGAGTGCGTGTCAGGCCAGGAAGCTTGTGGAGAACAGGTGGCTGAACTGAGCGCTTGTCCGGCGCAGGCGCAGCATGTGCAGCTGACAAGACACAGATTGTATAGCTTCAGAGACTGCACGTGGTTGGAATGAACCCGAGCTGTTATCCTTGTCTCGAGCACTTGCACCGCTCCAAAGCGGAAGCATCACGGCAGAGAGACTCATCATCGGATTGTTTTTAAACAAGGCCGCTGGCAGACGGATGTGTTCTCGTGCATGGTTCAGAGAACTGTTTCAGGATTCTGGCCGTTGGAAGCTCATGATATGTGCGGACGGAGCTCGTTCCCATGCAGTTTGCGGCTCAAGACCCTGCCAAGAAGGACCACACTGGTCCAGAAGCCGATCTGCACCAAATTGCGAGTCTCCCAGTTTGTTGATGAAGTTGGGCGAGCTTTCTGCTTTGTCTTTTTGCCTAGTGTCAGAATCGTTGCATGTAGAATCCTCGATGCTGCTCTGTAGAGCGGCCGTCTCAGGAACAATGGCAGTCGCCGTGGCCCCACAGGTTTCTGTCTTTACAGAAGCGTCGCGTCTTCACGGCTCTTTGCAAGTGCAGGGCACGCTTCTTTCGGCTCAAGCCTCGAAAACTGGGGCAGCCATACCAATCGTTTGAGAAACCTATGAGAAGGCCCTGTGATGCCCTGTGCACGCGCCAGTGCATGTGCACGTGTGCGTGCCAGCCCAGCCTGCATCACAGGTCCACTCCATACCCGGCCACGTATGCGATGCACCTCGCAGTTGCAAAGGTCATCTGCATTTCGGTGACATGCGTGACAGCCAAGGTCAGCACTGCAGCTTGGCCTTATGGTTCCTCGGCACAGTGGTTCTGCCCTCGCAGGCTCGGTGTACGAAGATCCGTGACGACCTCTGTGGATGCTCTGCGACAGCTTGTTAGCATCACGTTGCTTGCAGGCCAAGAACATCATGAGGAACCTGGGATGCGCAAGTAGCTTCAGCTGTGCAGCATCTGTGGCCACAGATACCCCGTTTCATTTGTGATGGCCCGAGGCGATCGCAGGCACTTGTGACCCGGCGTCGACTAGTCATGGAGACCAGTCCCGGAGACTCAGCATTCGTGCACAGCTCGCAAATTGTCGTCGGTTGCCATCCAAGATTGCCAGTGACGGAGCCATTCTGCAGCAAATTCTGGACTTTGCATGGTCGGAAACTGATGCTGCTATGCCCGTTTACAAGAAACTTGGCTGCGCTGATCGATCCACCTTGGGATGCTGTGCATCTCGCGGGTGGTCAGTGAGCCAGCAGGGAATGCTGCCAAAAGAGGCTTTACTTCAACCTCCAGGGGAAGCATATGTGTTGGCAGAGAGAGTCCGAAGGCTGTCGTGGCTGGGCAGCAGTTCATCTTCTTGCACAGATTCGCAAGAAGTTATCGCTTGGGAGCATAATATCGAGCGGGGTCGATTCATCGCAGCACGGCAGATGACTGAAGTGTGTTGGTTCTGTTGGAGAGGGAAATGTGACAAGCTTCTGAGAAGGTTCGTCCGCGGCTGAATGCAATGTGGAGTATTGCCATGCCGACGAAGCTTTGTGGCACCTGCCTGAAGCTTGTGGCTTTATCTCGACAAGCGCAGTCGCTACTTGTGCATGCGGCAGATGCGAGCACTCACCGCTGCAAAGTTGAAGTGCAAGAAGGAGGATAAAAAGTCATGTTGATACGCCACAGTAACCGTATGCAGTCGGAGCAACTCAGGATCCTGGCTGTGACTGTATGAAAGTGGGATTTCGGAATTGCAGTCAAAGCAGGTGCCGCTCAAAGACCCTGCATGTTTCGGATCTACAATCATGCCTTCTGAGATCTGTGTGTGGAGACCAAACTGCAGGCTGGCACCGTTGCAGCTGTTTGTGGAAACGATGAAGCAACCAGCCGCGACCCTAATCGTTTCATGCTAGGCAGGTCGAGGAATACAAGGGCTAATGCCTCTTGTGTGGCCATGCCTCAGTATGTGAGGATGGGAAATTTCCGAACCATACCTATTACTGGCGCCAGCTCCGGGTGAAGTATTACGACTCCTCAGTCGCTTTGTGGCAGTGTCGAAAGTAGCATTGGCATCGTTTCAGGCACAAGTGTCACACGCTGTAGCTTGCCAAGTATTCTTTGATTGGCACAGTTGGGCAAAGCCACGTGGCTTGTCATGTCCCTTGTGCCCAGGATTGGGGCGACCGCTCCCACGATTTCGGAAAGGCCGGTTGACAGAGATGCCGACTGCAGCGCAGATGACAGTCCTTGTCACGAGAAGGGCAGACGGAGTAAGAAAGCGAAGTTCGTGAGGCCTTGGAGTCCTATCTGGCTTGCAACGCAGAGCCCTGCGAGTGCCGAAGTGAGAGCGTCTTCGGTTTTGCTGCTCGGGCCGAAAGAGTCGAAGCCACTTCTTGGGTGTTTTGGGAAATGTGTGGAAACCTCCCAGGCCTGGGATGGAAGCAGGCTGGTCAACGTGGAGGAGGAGACGCGCCGCAGCGTTGGCTGCCCGTCTCAGTGAGGCTTCAGGTGGTCGGCAGCTGCCCGCGGCTGGAAGTTTATCTGCAAGCCGTGACGATCTGAGGTCCATCTCCTTTTCATCTCAAAACTGGGGACACGACGCTGACTTTGCGCGAGTACAACATGCGCTTGAAGGCAGGGATAAGGGAGCGCCAGGCCGTCGCGTCAGCCTGTCCGATCCTTGTTCTTGTCAGGAAAGCAAGATGGAAGCTGCAGCCTCTCACATATACCACGATCCCACATCTTCATCGACCAAAACAACATCCACGACAACCCACATGCAGTCACTCTCGACCACTCGCACACCTGCGCGAGCTACCAGCACCAGCACCACGACCACTACAAGACAACCCAGGACGACCACGGCTGTCACCACTTCGGCCTCCGATGACATCGAGGAGGACAGCGCCGAGGAGGACTCGACAACCAACGAGATCAGTACCACCACAGGCCTGGTTCACTGTGCTGTGAGTTGAACTGTTGACGCTGTTGAAGTTGGCCGCGCTGTGCTCTGGGACATTCTGGGACTTTGCGAACCGCCGGCATGGAAGGAGCGGGCAACTGGGATGAGGATGATGAAGAAGCTCCGGAAGAGGAGCAGGAGGACGATTCCGGCGAGCAGCGGGACAGACCTGTGCCTGTGCTGCGCTACTTTATCTACTTTGCAGCTGGATAATGCACCTCAAACATAGGCTCGCTCAGGTGGTCACTACCAGCGCCGGTTCTTCAGTTTATGCTTTGGCACGGATGGGGAGACCTGCAGCCGAAAGTTAGTTGGCTTGCTTCCCAGGCCTTGCTCACATCGACGCAGCAGTCCAAGCAGACGTCGACACAGCAAGGTGTGGGCGTATGTGAATTCTGTGGAATGTGCTGAGTCGGAACACGAGTTGTTCACTGAACCGGAATGAACTGGAATACTCATTCAGTGAACCAAAGCATCCTTTCAGTGAACTGGCTAGGAGTGGGGGCATCCTCAATAAGAACGTGGCAAGTGAACAACCCTCGGCTTATGGCTTAGGCTACGATCCGGATATAGGTCAGGCTACGAGGGGTTAGGTGAGGTTACGATTGGGATTAGGGTAAGGTTGGGGTACATTGGGTGTGGTTGGGTTGTGTTAGGTTGGGCTACCTTAGGTTAGGGCGAGGTTGAGGTTAGGTTGGGGTACGTTGGGTTGGGCCAGGTTAGCTTAGGTCAGGGTCGCGATTGGGTTAGGTCAGGGCTAGGTTGGGTTAGGTTCGGTTAGGGCCGGAGTTAGGTCAGGGTGGAGTGGGGTGGATGGGTTGTGTTAGGTTGGGTTAGGTGTTTGGCTAGGTTAGCTTGGGCTTCGTTGGGTCAGGTGAGGTCAGGTTGGCTTACACTAGGTCAGGTTAGGCAAGTTACGATCGGGGTTGCGGGTCAGGTTCATATTAGGTTGGGTGCTCGGGTCGAAGTTAGATTAAGTGGAGCGGGGTGTGGTTGGGTTAGGTTAAGTTAGCTTAGGTTCCGGTTAAGTTAGGGGTTGGTTGGACTAGTTTAGGTTACGATCCAGGTTGCCTCAGGGTACGTTGGGTTGGGTCGGGCTTAGGTTAGGTCAGGGTTGCCGGAGTGAAGGTGTGGCTGGGTTGCGCTAGGTCTCTTAGGTTGTGTTTAGTAGACTTGGTTAAGTTGGGTTGGGACGTTGGGTTGGGTCAGGTCGGCTTAGGTTGTGTTCAGGGGTGGGGAGTGGCTGGTTTGCGTTGACGGCATTGGGTCAGGTTAGGTTCGGTCAGGGCCGGGTGTGGGTTAGGTCAGGGGGTCGGGCTAGGTGAGGTTGGGTTAGGTTGGGTTAGGGTCTGCGATAGGTGGATTCGGGCGTGGTTGAAATAATAGGTTGAGTCGGGTCGCAGCCAGGCCATTTGCGGTGGTCGGGGGGGGGGGGGGGGTTAGATTCGGTATGGCTCGGTTACGTTAGGCTAGGGTAGGGTCGGAGTTAGGTGGGGTGGACCGGGGTCTTTGGGTTGGTTGGGTTAGGTTGCGTTGGGATACGTTAGGGGGTCAGGTTACGTTAGGGGTTGGCTGGGGTATGTTAGGTTCGGTTTCGGTCAGGTCGGGGCTAGGTTGGTTAGGTCAGGTTAGGTTAGGGTCGGAGCTAGGTCAGGAGCAGTGGGAGTTAGGTTCGGTTACGTAGGGTTAGGTCTAGTTAGGTTGGCTTGGGTTTCGGTCAGGTTGGGGTCAGGTTGGGTTAATTTGGTACGGGTTGGAGTGGTTTGGGTGAGGTCGGGTTTTGGTGAGGTCCGGGGTTAGGCTAGGTTAGGTTGGGGTCTGAGCGGTTTGGGTGAGGTTAGTGTCAGGTCGGTTTTGATTAGGTTGGGTTGTGGTTAGGTCGGGATAGGTTAGGTTAGGGTCGGAGCTGGGTCAGGTGCACTGGGTGTAGTTGTGTTGCGTTAGGTTGGGTAAGGTGCTGAGTTATGGGTTCAGGCCAGGTTAGGTCAGGGTCGGTTCACTGAATTTTGGGTGTCAGCTCACCGACAATGCGGTTTCATTCACCGATTCCGGTTCACTGAACATGCCGGTGGGTCGTTTTCCGTGCCAAACTCGCAAGTCGACCAGGCACCTCGCGCGAGCCGCAACCTCCGAGCACAAGCCCTCCCACCACGACATCTCCTTCACCGGCAGGGCCTGGATCCGATAAAGGTGGCAACACCGGGAGTGATGCCGGAGGTGGCGACAGTGACGACGGTGAAGACGGCGGCGATGACGGCGATGATGGCAGCGACGGCAATTCTGACGATGACGGTGGTGACAGCACTGACAGCAGTGACGGTGCCGGAGAAGATGATCGCGATGATGCGGGCAGTGATGAGTCCGGAGGGGATGGTGAGACAGCCAAGCCGGGGCCTCGTGAAGACAGTTGTGGCTGTGTAGTGTGTTTAATTGTAACGCTACGCCGCCCGCCTCGGCCTGATTGTGTCGGCAAGATGTGTCTTTGAGGCTTCAGCTAAGGGACTGAGTCTCGAAATTGGACCCCGAAAGCGGGTGTCACTGGACTGGGGCTGCCGGGAGGCGGATTCGGTGGTGTGTACTACGTGTTCATGTTGCTTGTGTGTGTTTAATTGTTTGGGATAGCCCATGCGAGCCAAGAAGCTTGCTTGGTTAGAAGCAGTACCAGTAGCTGAGTCATTTTAACGGAGCAATGCTGTGATGCAACCCACTATGTTTCGCTGGTTGCCGGATGAGCAGGAGGGTCGGGTGAAGGGAGGGGGGGAGGGGAGAGTGGGGGAGCCGGGGGTGGGGTCGAAATTGTGGGCCAAACACGGGTGTCACGAAACTCTCGGGGTTGCAGTTAAACCCCAAGACGCCGGAGGCCTGTGGCCTCGGCGGATGTTCAGACAGGCAGGTCGAACAAGCACCTTGCCTGCGGTGCCGTAAGGTCGAGAACCTCGGCGACTTCGACCACCACTGCTGCTCCCGAAATTGTTACCACTTCCAAATCCACTTCAATCACATCCACAACTACTTCCACGTCAACAATGACGAGCACCACGACATCTCTGACAAGGACAACTACGACAACGACGACACAATTCTGCCATTGCTGCTCCATCTACACATAGCCCAGAAGTTAGAATGGAGATGTCTTGTGGGTAGGGGGGATGTTCATCCAAAACTCTCAGCGCCTACAGCCTTAAGGCTTTGCCAATGTGTCATGGCGGAAGGAGGCTGGGTATTTCATTCTGATTTGCTCCAAGCATAAGCAGTGGTCGGACTTCGGAGCAGTGAAGCAGACACACCGGAAAGCCCTGGGCTCTGGTTTTTCGGCAGCGGCTCTGCAAGAAGTATCTTACACACTGCGGGACTCAGACTGTCAATTCTCTCGCTGCGTTGTGTGCTTTTGCCAGACTCCGGGCCGGTTGCCGTCGTCTCCCAGTGGCTCAGCACGTCTGCGCCGCACGGTGGCTACAGCAGCTGTGACGGCAGCGGTGGGAGGCACAAGAGATGTGTTTCCTGTAGGTGTCCTTCAGGTACAGTGCCCCAAGTCCGCATTCCTGGGGGTTCAAGCTGCATTCCTTCCGGAGGTTGCAAGAAGTTCTGCCTCCAGGCAGGGTGCCGCCTACTGATGCTATGCATTTCGACAGAGCGTTGAGCCCCAACTAGCTTTGAATCTGCAATGACCCCGAACCTTTCGTGTGATGGGGGAACGCAGATTTTACAGATTCTGATCTCACTGCTGGCAGCATGGCCTGGATAAATGATGCTACTGCTCACTGCTCATTGCAACATCAGGACGACTTTATGCATGCCATCGCCAGACAGAAGGGCAGCGATGCCTATTGCAACATGGCTTCAGGCTCTTTCTCCGTCCTTCTAGATAGCTCACATACCCACACAAGCAATACCTGAGGCACCTGCTACACGAAAGACACCAGCAATCCAGTGTATGACACGACGGCCAGGCAGGTGCAAACTCAGTGCATGCCTGCGATGTTCGGTCCCAGCACTTCAGCACTTCGACGGAAGAGGTTCGAGGAGAACCAGTCCCTCATCGGAGAATGGAACCTGGAGGCCCCGGCTGCCGTCCGAGGCTACACCAAGTTGCTGGTTCCAAAGACGAGCTCCGAGAAGATCAAGGCCGGAGGTGCATAGATCTGGGGACACGACTCAAAAACTCCCTAACGGTTCCTGGAACGGCCATTCAGCTCGCATGCCGAGAAACTTCGCGATGCTGTGTCCTACCCCTTCCTACCCCTTATTTCTCGCACATCCCGGTCTGCTGGGGACGACTCTGGAAGGCACATGCGGGATGCCCGGAGGACGGGCAGTGGCTGAAACTGTCAGGGTATGATGCGCAGGTCGAGCATGGGTCCTAGGTGTGCAGGCTCGGATGCACGATGGCGGCAAGCAAGAGCATTGCAAAGTTCTGGGAGCCAATGCCGTGTTTCGAGGACAGTTCAGACTGCTCTGCTCTCTTCGGCCTTGGTTGCCACTGCCTTGGTACGGGATCATTGGGGAATTCCTTGGAACGAGGTGGCAACATTGTATATAGTGCTGACGTCACAGATTCGTACGTCGGGTGGCAGTATGGTTGGCACGAAACGGCCGCCTAAGGTCACTAGAGTGTGGGGTGGCATCGAATGCTACGTGCGGTTGTATTTTCACAGGCTACGGACTTGCTCTGTTTCCGTTCCCACAGAGCATCCAGGTCCCAAGCATGATAACGTCGACCCAGACCCCATCTATTTTCGCAGAGCATCTATGTCCCAACCATGGTACAGCCTTTTGCAAGCCTCTCGGTGATGCTGATCCTTATGAACAGCTGCCCGATAAGGAGCCTTGGTCGTTTCTGGGAACCTGCCAAAAATGCCCACGGTTTCACAGTGCACAAATTTCGCTAAAACACGCCTTTCCGCAACACATGCCGGAACTCCTGCAAGCGGAGCTCCAAAAAAGGGCCCAAAGTTGGGGTGGTGCTTAAGAAAAGATAGCCAGCTGGCAAACTGGATGTTCTACTGTCTTCGAACCTTCAAATGTGCCTGTCAGCAAAAACACCGTTCCGGTCCTGGCCTTACAGCCTTAGAGCGCTGGCTGCGGCACAACGTGCGGTTCGAACGCCTCGTTCGGGTATGAACAGCATTTGGGGCCCGATGGGTGCATTTTGTCGGCTGGTTGTGGTTGGAGTAGTTTGTACTTGTTGTTGCCCTGCTCTTGTTGGTGGTGGGGATTTTTGTCGCTGTCACTGAGTCACTGCGGTTGCTGCTGTTGACGTGGGTTATTTTCGGCACGTGCTGGCCAAACTCTTTGTGCACCAGTAAAGTTGAACTGCCGCGGCAGTTGCTTTCCCGCTTTCTGATGCAGAACTTCGTTGCAACGTGCAGTGGACCTTTGTGTTTGGGTTGTCGACAGCGGCTGGTCAAGCTCATGGTGTATTCCGTGCTGGTCTGCTTGACATCTGTTCCGATTTCGGTCGAGTGCGTCAATGCAGATATTCGTCCTTGCTTACTTAAGCATCTGTTGATGCCTGAAATTGTGTCCTGTCAAGGGCAGTTGCTTAGGTGGGGACAAGCCGCCTTTGCTGTGCCCCAACACTCACGAGCACCTTGGGAGCGTAAGCAGAGTTGGAGATGCTGCAGGCGCTTCGTGTCCAGCAGACTGTTCCCAAAGCATGAGAATCAGGCACAGTCCCTTCGTCACAACACTGCCTCCCAACGTTCGGCCGTCAGACAGCTTCTTCCTGAGTCAGGCCAGCATACGTTGTGTTGCTCCATGATGTTAATATGGGTTCTGTCCATCACGCCTCAGCTGCCCAGTGCAAAAAAAATCCGCGCGAGGCTTGTGCAGGTGCTTCAGTTTCCAACAACTCGGAGTCCCATGCCAGCCTGTGCAGCAATGCGTGGCTGGTTTTCGACTTGGAGGAGAAGTTCATTGTTACGAAGATACGAAGCTTGGTTGTGTAACAGCCGCGCGGAATCCCACTGTTTGGCTTGCTAATCAGCATGTAGGGTTTTTAGAGTTGAGCGTTTAGGGTTTAGGGAGTTTGGGGAGGCTGAAGTTCGTTCGGCGCTCGGGCTTTTTTTGGGGTTTAGGTTTAGGTGTTTGGGGTTTGGACTTTTTCGGGTTTAGCTTTTCAGGACTTGGAATTGTTGAGGATTCAGCAATTGGGGTTTTGGGTGTGTTGATGTGGGTTTCGAAGGTAAGCCAGGTGGGAAACCGAGCAACTCCTGGATCTGAGCCACTGCTGGAGCTCAGGATTCCACAACTACGTTACTCAGGATGCCGTCCGCAAGGTCATCTTCAGTGGCAGCAGCAGTGTGGGAGACTGGGTTCCGGCTCAAGCCATTGACCTGCCGAACACGGCGACGGAGCGGTCGCCTTCAGCGCCTTGGCTTGTGCATCGTCACGATTTTTTTTGGATGTCTAGCAGCTGCAATTCTGGAAAGGTTGGCCTTCGGTGTTCAGCACGGAAATATGTGTCTGGATGTTTTGCAGGCAGAGAAGCATTCCGTTTCTGAGCACGTCTTGGACGTTCCAATCAGCGAGAGGTTTCTGAAGATGGGGATCCTTGAGAACTATGGCAGCAGAGGCAGCTTTCTGTCATCATCCTCTTTTGGGGGTCTCCCTGTTGCGTCGTCGCATGGTGTCGAAGTGCTTCGTCATACATGTTCCGCCAGAGTCGTAGGTGTGGGGTTCTTTCGCATCGAGTTCCACGGGTTCAGGCCTTGAGCTCAGTGCCTGCTCAGGCTTTCCACCGTTCAGTGCAGCTGGCAGAAGAGAATGAAGCCTACAGGTACTTCTTCACGGACTTTACCAAGTACCCAGGAAAGGCCTGTGGAGGTGTCTTGGACTCATTACCCGCTGCCTCCTCTCTTCTCCTCTCTTCACTTAACTTTGTCAGCTTTTCCCCTTCGCTCCCACTCGGCTGAGGCTACGAGCTCGAGGACATGGCCGGGGCGCGCGGCTCCGAGCAGCGCTGCCGGGCGCAGTGCGCCGCGCGCTTGGACTGCGCTGCGGTGGAGGCGAGCCGAGCAGCGATTTGCGACCGGTTCTGAGAGCAGACGCACTCGGAAGGTCATCCACTCTGGAGCATCTGCTGGCAGCTGCATCTTCCACAGCAACATCTGGATACCCACAAGGCCCATGGCCCAGACCTGGCGTGCACAGCCTTGGGATTCGGCCTGCCATGCAGGTCCTTGGAAGACGAGCGTGATTGCTTCGTCCGAGAGGGTCAGGCCCAGATTTCTCTGACACCCACACGGATCCAAGGATCTCCATGGCTAAATTCCTTAGTTTTCAATAGAACCAGCCTGCTGAAGCAGCTGCCCTGCTTTGCAGACCGTCTTCTGCCAGCGCGGCCTTCCGTTGCACGACGTCTGCTGCAGCCCAGAGTGTGGCACCTGCGGAGGCGACAAGTGTTCTTACCGCCCCGGGGGTCGATCCTGGGCCTAAACCTTTGGCTTTTGAGGCGCAAGACCGGATAGGCAAACTGCACTGCTGGCTTTCACAGTGTGGCAGATTAGTGCGGCAGCCGAGGATCCAAGTGCTGTGCCGGATCCATCAGGGTCATGCGGCACCTGTGCGCCAACACGACAGCAGCTCTGCTGATTTGTAGGCTTCTTCTATAGGATGTCATGAGACCGGAAGTCTTGCTTGGAGTCGCTTTTGGAGGATGTGGCTTGCCGAATTCCACGGCCTCGGCGCGCTGGAATTCCGACGCTCCGTCTCACGTTTGAGAGTCTTGGCCGGAAGGTTCACAGCGGTGCCGTGCCCCTTGTCACGTGGCCTTGTGGCAGTCTAGCAATTTAGCTACCCCTGCCGCCTGCCTGTCCTTCAAGTCTTTCTCTGCGTTGCTCAGCTGAGGAACGAAACCGGAGGCATGCTGTTGCCCGGATATGCGAGTCATTGGATATCACCCAACCCAAAACTTTGTCGTGTTGTCGTGTTGTGCCTGTGTGTTCGACAGGCTCCAATGCAAGTGAAGACTTACGGCCTTCGAAGACGATCAAGGCCTTGTTTTGCATTTGCTTAAAGGCCGCGGACTCGTGCATGCGGACTTCCAAGCCAGAGACCTGAAGGTCAGCGGTTTTCAGCCATCGACGACGCTGTCACGGGCAGGGGGAACAGCCGCCGACCTCACAGGTGCAACTTGCCGGCAAAGACTGCAGCTGGCTGTGGGCTGGCTTGGACCTTGGAACTTGCAGCCACGGAGTTCCCACAATTTCCATGTTTGTTTCAAGACACAGCTGTGTTCTCTTTCGGGTGGCGACACCCGCCCGGCCACGTTGATGAACCTAGTCTGGGCTTTTCGATCCAGGTGAACACCGGTATCGAGATCCGAAACTACGGGCGGTGGTTCACAGCCACCTCGACCTACATGTGCTGGATCCGGCCAACCTTCGTGAGGTGTCCCAGCTGCAGCATGGACATGTCTCCCTCCCTTCCTTGCCTCCCGCCCGCCCGTCCGCTCGCCCGCATGCACGCTCTCACTCTCTCACTCACGCACTCACTCATGCGTTCACTCACACACTCACACCTGACACTCACTCCTCACACTCACTCGCACTCACTCACACTCACTCAC